GCTTAAAAGTTTGTTTGTTTTCCCCCCCCCCCCCCCAAAGCCCAGCATTACTCAAAAGAAAAATAACTTGCATAGCAAAGTGTTTTTAGGGAATCTCTTGCTCTTCTCAATTACAGTGATTCTTACCTTGTAAAGTGTGCATCAGGGTCAAGCTACAGTGCTTGCTTGGCTTGGTTCCGTCATAGACAGTGTGTAACACTTGGTTCTGTTTCACTTGTGCCAGGTTTTAAGTGGCTGGGGGCTGAATGCACCTCAGGCTACACTAGCTGGGGCCACACCAGCAGGAGCATGGACCTCAGGCCCTGGGGACCACATGTTTTCCCTCCCTCCCTCCCTCCCTCCCCTTCTCTGTTGCTGCTCCCTACACTCCACCTTGGCATATTTCTGAGTTGCGTGCTGAGGAGCCCCAGCTTGCACTTAGTTCTGGGGCAGGGGCAGGAAGGGGAGGCCTGAGACAGGCGGAGCTTGAATCCCCTGGCTACTACTACGGTGGGGGAAAAAAGGGGAGTGTGGTGGCTAGGTGGGAGCTCAGGGGTCACAATTTAACCCCTCATGGGCTGCATGCAGCCTCCAGGCAGCCAGTTGGACAGCCCTGACTTACATAAAGTGCAGGGTTCTGCATCTAGGGAGAAGGAACCAGCAACACGCCTATGGGCTGATGGAACACCCTTCTTGTCAGCACGGTGGCAGAAAGGGATCTTGGAGTCATTGTTGACTCCAGGATGAACATGAACCACCAATGCGAGGAAGCAGTCAGTAAGGCTAACAGCATCTTGTTGTGTATCTACAGATGCATCACAAGCAGGTCCAGGGAGGTGATCCTTCCCCTCTATGCAGCATTGGTCAGGCCACAGTTAGAGTACTGTGTCTAGTTCTGGGTGCTGCACTTCAAGAGGGATGTGGCTAGCATTGAGAGGGTCCAGAGGAGGGCCATCCGCATGGTCAGGGGGCAGTGGGGCAGGCTAAAGGGCCTGAACCTATTCAGCCTCCAGAAGAGAAGGCTGAGAGGGGACCAGCGGGAATTGGTGGAGGCTCTGTTCCTCTGAGCACCACCGGGGGTTACTAGGAACAACAGCCACAAATTGTTAGAGAGAAGGTTCAGCCTGGACCTCAGGAGACTACTTTAGAGTTAGGGCTGCCAGGCTCTGGAATGGGCTCCCAAGCGAGGTGGTGCTCTCTCCTACCTTGGGGGTCTTCAAGAGGAGGCTGGACAGATATTTGGCTGAGGTGATATGACCCCGGTGCCCGTTCCTGCCTGGGGCAAGGGGTCAGACTTGATGATCTGTTTAGGTCCCTTCCAACCCTAAGCACTATGATACTACGATAAAATTTGAACTCAAGTTAAAGTACCTGTTACCTTTTAATCAGAAAGTTTGAAGCAGTAAGTCTTCCTAAAATATGTTGGTTTTGTGGAGTAGATAGTATTATATCCTTTTTCTCCCAAATCTGGAGTAACTGTTGGATTTGATCCTGTAAATTGCCTGATTATTACACAAGCAAAAATAATCAATTCTGTGTATACAAACTTGTCTAATAAATATCCTGCAGATGTTCTACTGCTACTTGTTCTGTCCTATGTAATGTAATATTTTTCCCTCAAACACTCCTTGAGGTTTTCACTAGTGTGTGTTTATTGTTCACTTCCTTCCTTCCCCCTTCTTCAGAAGCTGCGTGGAATGAGGGCAAGGAAGTGATGATCATACCTGCTATATATTTGAATGAAACCCTTAATAGGAAAATTTTAAACGCTCCCCTCTGCCAGGAGGGTAACAGGGTGGTGGTATGAGGATCTGACTGATTTACCAACTCTGATAGAAAATGAGCACTGATATGCTTAATCTTAGAAAGTTACCCAGAAAACACTTAGGTGGTGGACACCATGTCAGGGTGTTAAAGAAGGGTGTAGCTCTGGTGGCTTTCATTTGCATGTGCCTTACATGAAATCATTTGCTAAATCTGTGTTTTTAGCAGTACAGGCTTCTTTGAATTCCTTTCTCAAATATGGCACAATTCTGTAGTTAGAATCCAACAATGTGGAGAAATTTGGGGAACTTAAAATGTACTGAGTAGTAGGTTTCTTATTTGCATAAAATTTGCTCAGCTGAACGCTCTGTAGCTAAGCAAGACGGAACAACTGTATTCCATTAAAAAAAAATGTGGAAGCCATGAGTGCTCTATTATTATGAAATTTTATTCGTGCTAATTGTCATGACACCAGGGAAATAAGAAAAAGGCTGGAGAAACCACTTCATATTTATGAATGGTTTGACCCCCATGTGCAGTCTGGAAATATCACTCTATAGAGAACTTATTTTTAATAGTCTCTCAAATTAAGCAGTTATAGACAATTAACATGGTGGGGGAGGAGGCAAGATAATTCCCAAAGTCAGCGTTTTGGACAGACTTTTCTTGGATTTCCCCATTCTAAGCAACTATCCAGGAATTTAGTTTTCTCTAACATTTGCTGTGTTTTAGAGAAAATTGTCTTTCCTTCTCTGATTCTGAGCTAATGCTAAGACTGCCTGAGAAGTCGGGGCTGGTCAGTAACTTGAGAGGCTAACACTTCTGGTTTGGTAAGCTACTAGGACACATACTTTCTCTTTACTCTTTTAGATATCCTAAGGTTGCTGCCAATTTGAGCTTACACTGCTTATGCTTATTTTTCAGGTGAAGTACATTGGGAGGATGGAAAAGTCTCTGGGACAGTGTATAGTGGTGAAGAGAAACTCACCAATCTGCTAGTGAAGGTAAACAAGCTTGCAGGCGATACAATATGTTGAACTTACAAATAAACTTTGGGGTGAGTAACCATAAACCCCTTCACATAAGGTCCTGAACTGAAAGGAATTATTTTGTTTTGGAAAGTGGTAGAGCCCTGAAGCCAGAAGTGGAGGTTCAAATAGAAGGTGTTATTAGCAGAACAATTGGGCAGTCAAATAAATGGCCAAAGGTTGCTGGTGGGGGGTGGGGTCAAAGCATCATCATTGTAGGTACTTAAGAACAGATTAGATAAAAAGTTTGGAATGTGAAAGCAAGTAGCTGATTGCATATGCGTGAATAAACTGATGGTGTTCTTCTAATGTTGAGAAAGTGGGGCTCTGCAACATTTCAGGAATTCTGCATGGCAACCATGGCTTAATCCTACTTGATCTGGTCTGTGGCTATTTACACCACCGTAACCCCTTTTGGGTTAAGTCTAGGCAAAAGGAAACTTAGAGCTAACTGTACTGTGCAGCCCAAATTTGGAGAGTAGCTTAAAAAAAAGAGAGGACAAATTGGCTTCACCTAAATCAGCAGTGCTCAGCCCAATTAAGCTCAAGGCACTTCTTAGCTTTCACATACTTTTTTTACTACAGAAAAATAATAGAGCAATTCTTCTGTTGCAGAGAACTTGGAAGGATCACAATAGGTCAGAATGTTTTTGACATTATAGATATATGTGCAAAATCTGTGGGTCTGTCCTGCGAATCATATATAGGTGTTTGCATACTTAACAGTGCTATTATCTGGCACCTTTAAAAGGAGCTTGCAGCGCCCTGTTTGAGAACTTCTGACCTAAATTCTTGCTAAGTCTATGTATAAGCCTGGCACTTTTCTCCTTGGTAAGGTTAAAAGGGTTCTAAACAAGTCAAGTGTCTGTCTAGCTGCTCTTTTCTTTTCTTTTTCCTTTTCCAGGAAAAAAGTTTAGGACAGTCCTCTTAGGACCTTGTTACACATTAAATTTAGGGAGCTTCTGGAGCTCTTAACCCCCGGATTGTCCACACATTGACACCTAACACTAATTTTAAGCACATTTTAAGCATCTTAAAGTTACACCACTCCAGGGCCGGTTTATCTTTGATCCATGTTACCCAGCTCATGTTCCATTACTGTATGGCCACTCTCCATAGATGAACTGCCCAAGTTGTAGTCCTCCAGCATCCCAGGATGTAGTGCCCCCTCACTCACTCACCCTTATGTTCTTTGTAGACAAACTTTCTACCCTCTGAACTCTAATGCCTAGGAGGTGGTTCTGGCACCAAGCTAACTCCCTTCCCACCCTTGGGAGTGTGACTTTATCACCCCCAAGGCTGCAACCCTGTACAAACTTTCTGCAGAACATATGCCAGCTAGCCTGGTTGCAGGGCATGGATGGGTCCAGGTGTAGGGTCTAGTGCGGGTGGAGGAAGGTGGGAAACAAGGTATGGGGCCATATTGAGTCCCCATGAGCTGCAGCTTCCTTCCCAGGACAGGGCCAGTAGCTCCCTCCAAAAGGGCCTTCCCTCACTGCTCCCACCTCCCAGCCACTCGGGGAAGCACAACCAACACCTTCCACATCCCAATCCCAATTTATTAAAACATGAGACCTTCTTTAATTTACTTTGTCATTTTCATATAAAATTTACTACTTTTTATTTTATCCTTCAGTGGCTGCCTTCCTTCATTTCACCCCCTTTCCCCACCCTAACTTCCTTTCCTTTCCTTTTTCCATTTCATTACCCTTCCCCATCCCATTAACTGTCCACCACCAGCCTCATGTTCTCCCTCCCCACTCACCCCAATCCATCTCATACCCCCTGCCCCACCTAGAGCAGGGATAGAAGCTTGTCTTGGCTCACCAGCCCTGCAGTGGCAGCTTACAGCTGTAGCTCCCAGTCAGGCCCCTGTTCCTCCATTCTCTAGTGTTAAGTCACAGCTGTGCAGGTAGGGGACAGTCAGTTTTTTAGCCTTAACATGTGACTGCTCCAAACTCAAACTAGTACTAACTGATCAACATTTGAACAGCTCAGAGTGCAACATGTAACAAGGGTCTTAGACTCCTTACTTTTTTGGAACATCTTTTTAGAGCAGCTACAGTGAATTGTGCATGCATGCCTGCTGCTTCCCTGCCTCATGGATGTATGAATGCATAGATCTCCATCACTGTTTTCTGTAGGAAATCATGCTTAAAACCTTTGGTTCCAAAGATTGTTTTGTTTTTTCTTTCTTGATGGTTATGTTGTCACTCCCGTTGATAGTCTTCCCTAACTTCAATAGAATTGCTCCTTATTCTGGCCAGTGGAGATCAAAATTAGAACCACAGTCAAAATGAAAGCCACTGTCTTTGTTGAGAGCCATGGTGTTAGAATGTGTGTGAAAGAAATGCTGGCTTCTGTGAATGCTTGTTTCTGAGTATTTGGGTAGTTGTACTGCTTCTAGACATAAAACTTGTGGTTACTCCAAAGTCTACTTTGAAGACAAAATAATTACAGTTTGACTGATTCTGAAGTGACTTTTTCAGAATAAGCTGATGACTGCTTCTTGCACTAAGATTTAGTGGCTCATCTTTAAAAGAACAAAAGCTTCTGTCCTCAAGCAGCCATATATTTTCTTTTAAACAGGTGTACTTGGAACTCATAATTTATTTTAAAAAAACAAACCCGTACTTAATGGGATGGTGGTTGTAGCATAAACATGCCTCAGGCCAAATGTACTCTAACTTGGGGGTTATTAACAGTGGTTAGATAATATGAATGTGTCATCTCATCTGTAGCTTCAGAAACTCCTGGCTACACCTACCTTCCGCAGTGTGCTGCTGTTGACCTCCTAAGCCTTGTTTCTTTTGTTACTTGCTGCTATGGCTGAACATAGTTCATTGTGCTAGCTCATTCGTAATATATGTAATGCCAGTTTTGATTGCTATTGCTGGATTTATTGAATGATAAACCTAGGTTTTGTTTTGTACAATATCAGAACATAATGAAATGCTTTTTACCTAAAGGTATATGAAAAGTTTGCATGGAGTAATCCCCTTCATCCCGACATATTCCCCGGTTTGAGGAAGATGGAAGCAGAGGTGGTGAGGATGGCATGCACGCTCTTCCATGGGGGACCCAGTTCCTGTGGTGTTGTAAGTTGTTCACTTAACACCTGACCCTTCTAACTGAATTCTGCACTCCTGCTTCCTTTCTACAAACAGTGCTAATATTATTCTTGTACAGTGTGACTGAGACCTTACAGATACTAGAAAGGTTGGTTAGTAGAGCTATACTGGCAAACCCTTCTTGGAAACATTTGAGAAAAGAGTTCCGAATGTGGGCAAAGGAATGTCTTGAGCAGTATGGCTATAGCTACCCTAGTGACTTTGCTGACACTTTTTCTATACTTTTAACCAGTATCATTCTGCTGGTATCACTCTGCTGGTGCTAGGTGGGTAAGGGATCAAATAACCAACTTTGGTTTGGAAGCAGTTTTTTGTGTGGTAGCTTATTTAAACTGCTCTGATTTGCAAATTTGTCAGCTTACCAAAACTAGGGCTACTTATTGCTCTGGCTTATTGTGATACCACTAACAAGCTGTTCTAGGTGCCAAATGGCTTTGTGATAAATCAGGTGTTTTACATACTGTCTTTATCCAATTTATAGCAGTTTCAACAAGTTAGCTTACACTGCCTCAAAGTTTACAAATGCAAAAGCCTTCTGTCATTTGGGAACTGGCTTTGCTCTGCCAGCAGAAAGATGGGGTACTACTGCCACTGGAGAGCTGGGAATGTGGATGCAAAAATTTTTGGCTGGTAGAACCAAGTGGTGTAAACCAGATGTTAGTATGACAGCAGAGGGTGTGAATGTTTAGGAACAAGGTGTATTGGATAGTTGGTTTTAAAAACACAGCAAGTATTATATACATTAACAATTACAACTCTATCATCGCATTAGCAGGGATTTGGAAGTGTCCTCATCTCCATTACTTTTACTTATGGCATGTCCTTGACAATTCTGGTTTTGTGCCTTGTAGTTTTATGCAAGGGTTTGAAGTGGTCATCTTAGTGAACTGTCACAAATGATTGTCTGCAAATGCAGGGGACTGAACTTGGTGTCCACTTCCAATTTTGTGTTTCTTGTACTTTACTATTTATTTCTAGTCTTTATGTTATCATAGAATCATAGAGGTAGGGTCAGAAGGGACCTTATAGATCTTCAAGTCTGACCCCCTGCCAGGGCAGGAGAAAAAACTGGGCTCAAATGATCCCAGCTAGGTAGGCATCAAGCCTCCTCTTAAAGACCCCCAGGGTAGGAGCCAGTACCACTTCCCTTGGAAGTTGGTTCCAGATCCTAGCCACCCTAATTGTGAAGTAGTTCTTACGGATGTCTAATCTAAACCTACTCTCCAACAACTTGTGGCCGTTATTCCTTGTTATGCCAGGGGTCGCTAGGGGAAACAAGGTCTCGCCCAAACCCTTCTGGTCCCCCCTAGTGAGTTTATAGACTGTCACCAGGTCCCCCCTCAGCCTTCTCTTGTGAGGGCTGAACAGGTTCAGGTCCCGCAGTCTCTCATTGTAGGGTCTGCCCTGTAGTTCCCGGATCATGCGGGTAGTCGCTGGATCATGCGGGTAATGGTGAGCTTCTTAAAGCAAGGGCTTGGTTCACAGTGAGGCCTTAGTCTCATACCAGTTGTAAGTGCTGCTATATTACAAGAGTCTAATAAATTGCAAAGAACTAATTCTCTTGGGGGAAGGTACTGGTGGTAAACGATGAAGTGAGTTCTCAGAACCTGGAAAGAGGGGTTATGTTTACTCTCTGTAAATATATTGAGGCTAAAGCAGTGGAGAGGGAGAAGAGCCATTTGGCTAAATGGCAGTGTTTGCCCAAGAGTAGATGGGGATGAAATGACTGGATAAATCCAGTCTTGAAATTTACAGGACAAGAGAGATGTTGCAACAGCTTTCCAATAAGAGTAGTTGGGGCAAAAGACAAACATTGGTCAATTTGAGTAGAGAGGTGTTAGCCTGAAGTCAGGCAGGAGGCAGGGTGACTCCTTAGAAACTAACTGCTTATTTTGTCAGGTGCTGTGACCAAAACATATGATGGCATCAGCTGTTGCTTATTAAAACTTATGCCTCTTTGAACCAGTTAGTCTCTTAAGGTGCCACTTCACCCTGCCTTCTGCCTGGCCAGTTTATGAACAGGAATGTATGAAATAGTAGGGGATGTTTATAGTCCTAGTCGTATGTTTATAACCAGCTATGGAATTGGTGCTGGTGACTTTGCAGCTCAGTTGCAGTACTTGCACTGATTGACCAGCTTAAGGTTTAAAGTGAGAAAACCAAACAAACTTGTTTGTGTTGGTAAGATGCTTGACCCCACCTGTTATCTTGTCTGATTTATGGGGCTGAGGACATTGACAGGATTATCAGCAGAGAGGAGGATAGTCTGGATCTATACCCTGTCACATCAATCTTCATTATTTTTAATTTTAATTGATCTAATTTAATGACTGTCTTGCAAAACTCTAGGAGCTACAGTACTTGTCACTTGTTTTGGAGGACTTCATTCACAGAAACTTGCGACACCTGAGATGATTACAGCTTTCATTGTATAATGCGTGTGCAAACGCCTACATTTAACAAAAAGTCTACCTTGGCTCTATCTATGTGCTTAGTTCTTTACAGTAAAAATGTAGTAGCATGCAAGGGGAGACCAATGGAAGGTAGTTTCTAAAAGTGCTACTCTGTCCTAACTGGTTCCAACAAGGATTTCTTAGGCAGATATCTTTTTTGGATTATGTAGTTGGCATAATGTTAGACAAGCTTTTGAATGCAAGACACTCTTCCTTAGGTCTATGATTTATAGGAAGCTTGACATAGCAAGTTAAGCACAGCATAGGGGAGGGCTGAGATAAATTCTCAGGTGTAGCAGACAGCCCTCTCCAAAACCAGAAGATTACCACAGATGACCTGAGAACCCTTTCCACTCTGTTTCCTACCCTTTTTCTTCTCCCCTCCCTAAAGTCTTTTGTAATTAAATGAGCCTTGCGGCATACCATGAGGCTTCACAGCTGTAGGCAATAAGACATTAAGTCATGCTGAGATTTCAAACCGAAGTGTAAGAAAAGTGGTGACAATAGTAAATGGTTGAACAGTTCTCCTATAAACAAGGTCAGTGGAAAAGCTGAGAAATTGGATAGAAAAACTAGTAGGTTAACTTCTTTAATTAACTTCCTGAAACTGATCTTTCAGGTCAGCTCCTGCCACAAAGGATACACAGTTCTAAACAATGACTTTCAAGAAGCAATTTGCAGTTAAAGGAAGGCTTGGGTGATTTGGAGACACTCTCCTGAGCAAATGGTGTGACAAGTTGTCTTGGAGAGAGCCAGAATTTCAAATGAGTATCTGCTAGATAAGGTTTTATATTTAATATATCATCAAGATTTCTGATGGCTGAATAGTTGTTCCAAAGAACTGTGCCTTTGGATCATCTTTCAAACTGAAGTGATTCCACCCCTCCACTCCCCAAACACACATGCATACACACTTTTTAATATTGAAAACAACACTTTTATATTACTACTTCTTAAAGTCACTGTTGTAAATGGTCACCTGCCTTGGTACTGGCATGCCTTGCATGAGGCAGTTAATACCTATAGGGATTTTTCTTAATTCAGGGAAAGAAGATACTTAAGAAATTGAAACTACAAAATGGGCAGACTTAAAAAGGAACATTACAAAAAATGGAATAGCCTTAAGTTGTTATTGGCTCTTTTAAGGGCATACGGCTATTGGTTATTTTTATTGCACCTTGGAGAGAATCCTGTTTTTATTGGTAAATTTGGTGAGTGTAATTGCTGTTTTTGAGAAGTGTTAGCTGCCCATGTCTAGTGTTAGTGGTCTTCACACTCTGGTCGAGGTAACCCCATTGAATGCATGAAGTAGAGAGTTGAAACCAGACTGGCTTTTCTAATGGTGCTGCAGCAGCTGTCTATTAGAACATGTGAAACATGTTGGATGCCACTGGAGAAATACCAGGACCGTGATTCATGGAGAATGAAAAGAAAGTGCTTCTCTTTCTATGATAAGGAAACAGATTTGACTTGATTGTAAAGCAGTCTCAAAAATAAGAGCTCATGAGAATAATACAGGTCTTCTCCTGTATGACTGTATACAGCACTTGTAAGGAAACTGATGACTTGGACAGGTATTTAAATGAAATGGATCATGAGTACTGAATGTTAAGTTAAATGTTCATTATTTATGGAAGTTATCTTCATTCTAGGAACATGTTGCTGAAGCTCTTTTTATTTTTGAATACTGCTATTTACAAATCCCTTGTGAGGTCTTCAGACTCACCCCTATGTTATGAATTCTTTGAAATGATGCACTGCTTTCTGGAAATTTTCCAAGTTAGCTTTTTCCAACATGGAAAAGTTATTTCCAAGTTCTTCTTCTTTCTCTTTTGTGCTTCACTTATTAGATGGAACAGTAATAATGGTACAGGAACCAGTGGTTTTAGTTCCCAAGAGACTCCAATTTAAATGATTCAGAAAGACTAGTAAATTCAATCTGTGGTGTGGGGATTTTCTTCTGTGATATGTGAGTGGGATTAACAGCTGCAAGCCTCATAATTTTTAAAGTGATGATTCTGAGAATTAGCATGGGTTTCCCTTAGAATTTCTGGAAGAGTAGAAGTTTTCTATAAAAGTTTAGTTGCGTCTTCTAAATATCACAGATTATCATGATTAGACTAACACTAGTTTTGATTACAGCATTGCAAGGAAAATCATGTGTATATGATGTATCTGATATATACTTTAAATCCCTCCATCCCTCTTTTCCTTTATACCTTCCCCATTCTCAGCTAGAGGATTAAAAATTGAACAACTCTGAATTCTTCCACTGAATTCTGCACTCACGTGTTAGTTGTCAGGAAGCCCTGAAGTGTTTTCTCTAAAGGTTTGCTAAGTCTTCCTTCCCCTTTTTCTAATTTCCCCCAAGAGTATAGTTGAAGTGGAAGAAGCGAAAGATTTGATACTCCTGAGCTGCCTTTAAAGCTTGGCGCATTTTTTTCCTTCCCTTTGTCCTTTCAAGCTCCAAGCACTTTAGACCTTTCTTGAGTAGATAGTTGCATGTTTGCAATT